CCTCGAGGCAGTTACAAAGTGCTTACAACTGTCTCAGGAAGTGAAAGCACGAGAAAATAAACGACGTCATACGCAGCTGTCATCCGTACGCAAGGAAGTAAGCACAAGATGCCGAACACCCTTAGCAGGATGCAGCGCACCCTTCATGCGACTCGCCGAATATCTCACGGCGCTTCGCGCTTGGTGATGTGAGAGCCTGGTCCGGTGAGAACCCGGTGTGCTCCGTCCCGGCTTTGTAGGGATGCGAGGTCAATGGTGAACGACTACGGCATGCACGACTATGAGTACACCCCCCTACCCTCAAAGAAAACAACACAAACACCCTGAATTCTTCTCTGTGATCATATATTTTTTGCGTGGACCCTTTTCATGCTTTCTTAGTCGTTATCAATTCGCCTTCAGCAGTTGTTCGGAGATAAAATATGATCCGTGATCCATGCATCGTCAACAAGGAAATCGCGTCAAGGAAATCGCTTGCAGTAGAGAGGAAACATGGAAGCCTTTATTCACCCTTGATGCGGCGTTTCCCCTCTACAAAGACGACACTAGTCGGCACGTTTTCACGCAGCGTCTTGGTTCAGCGAACTCAGCCCACACGCCACGTGCCGCTCGCTCACCAGATCCTTGAATATGCCTCCGAAGGCTGACCGTCCCTCAAGCGCCGAGCCTCCGATGCAAACCGTTGGTATTTTCTTCTCCCAGTCGCCCCCGTTCTCTCCGGTGCAGCGCTCTTCCACAAACTGCTGGTATCAGTTGCCACACAACAACAACAACAACAACAAAAAATGCCGCGACGGCAGCGGTCGTGATTGGAAACCTTTCGTGCGCGGTCGACACCCTTTCTGAAACTTGTCACGGTGCGACAGAAGGTTCTATCGCCCGTTACTCTTCAGCCAATCACGAGCCCAAAGGAAAACCACCCTCGCCCCGGCGTACGCAGGCCTAGCCTTAACGATCAACCAGGGCCGAGGGTCCCGTTCGCATGCGAAACAGTTTCTGGTGGGCAACCCCCCCCCAAACGAGTGGCAACACGCCGCAAACAGCCGTGGGAAACCCGCCTGGACGCTGCGAGAAATAAGGGCTGTAGGCGTACGGATCGAATACCTTATGAATCGAATACCTTGGATTTTTCTGCTGAAATATAGAAGAATGCTGTGTGAAACATTGGTAAGTGTTACAGGCGAATGGGTAGAAAAAAGCTGTGGGACGCGAAAGCTGATTTGAAATTATAACCCAAATGGCTGGTAAAGTGCCGTGGAAAACAAGAGCTGTAGATGACGCAGTTGAACATCTTGAAAGTTTATGCTGAACGGGTAGTAAAAGAGCAAAAACTGTGCGAAACAAGAAACGCATTCGATGAATCGAAAAACCTTGTACCTTGAAGTTTCTGCTGAAGGGCAGTTCGCGGTGTTGTCCCTTGTCATCCGTAAGTCGGACGTGTGGCGTTCCCAGCGTGACGAGACCGTTGACTGCGTGAGACGCATTGTATATTCGCCCGTCGTAACTGCCAAATCGTCGAAACGAAACCACGGCGGTCGGGACATTGCAGGGACAGGTCGGCCCCAAAGTCAGTCGGTTTGGGGCACGGCGGACATCTTTTTTTATCACTCAAGCACAGCAAGTGTTGGGTGTAACCTATAGGCAGACCTTGCGGTGTCGATGGCAGTAGAGTCATCTTGCGGTGGCGCAGGCGAGGGAGCAAGGTGCAGTAACGACAACCACGGCAGTAGCAAGCAATCGGCAACGGTAAGTGTTTGTACGGTAGGTGACATTAGATATCACACACCCTGCATCGAATCTCGAAGCTTGAATACTGCCAGCGAGTGGCGGCGCCGAAAATGGCGGCGTTGGAATCGTCTGGTCGAGAACTTTCCGACAACGCGTCGTGTGATTTGTACCTGTTCAAAAATCGATCCAGGGAGTGTGGTCCCTAGTGTCACCTACGATATGTTTCTGCGGTACTGCTATGTATTGCGGTCTACCCGACAGTACATACCCTACCAGGCCTCAGAGAGGTATATTCTGGACATCCAGCCTCCGGCGGAGTGCGCGATCAAAATCACGCGCTCGTCTATCGATGGCTTCGGCGGCAGAACGGGAAGGGCGATGGGCCCCATGTGATGTGCCCCACGCTGAAAGGAGACAGGATCGAGCCGGACGATACACAATCGTGGAATACGGGATGCATTTGAACCGACTCAACATTCCGAACAAAACAAATCGTGGTAAATGGGATGCCTTTGAACCGAGTGAGCATTCGTGGTACGTGGCAATGAATAATCGGCTCTTGAAGACGCGCAATACCGCACTTTTTCTTTTGGACAAGTGTGTCATAAGATAGAGGTCGTGGGAGACCCATTCAAATGTGACAGGGGGCCAAGAGGGCATCAGGCAAAACAGGTGATGTGCAACAACGTTGGCAGATTCCACAGCGGTTGCTACAAGGGGACGCGGGGAACTGTGTCTTTCCTACACCCAACGTAACAACGTTGTGATCTTTTCTTTCACTGAATTAACTAAAAAACACCTACCAAGCACCTGGTACTAGAGAACACGAGGGTACGGGCAGTGTGCTCTCAATGCTAACTACAGATGGGTAGGGTTGCTTCCGTTTTTTTTTTGCGCTCCCTCTTGTTATCACCATGGCCTTGTGCCAAACAATTGAGCACATGACACACCAGGTCGCGTTGAGGTTTATTTTTGTCCATCACCGTGAATCAGCGCTCACTGTCCCAGCACTTCTGCCGGGTGAGATGGAGCACTATTTATTATACATGATCACAAAAAATGGTACTTCGACATGAAGAGGCACCTTGGGGTCGCCCATCTCCGCCCAGAAATCCTCGGCCGTGTACGGCGCCACCTCGCTCTGCAGGCCGGGCTCGTTGAACGCGTACGGCATGTCTTTGTGCTCCTGGGCACAGACACACCTGGTTTGGACAAAAGTAGGGGGCGGATATCAACACGGCCGTGTGATTCGTTGCGTGTAGGGCACGGGCTGAGAGACGCGATGCGGTCGTGTGTCGCAAACGTGCTCGTATCTGCTCCGTCGTGTAAGAGGCGTTACGATATCTTAAGGACAGCGACAATTTCGGTTGGGGTGGGAAAAAGAGCTACGCGAGTGCGGGAAGCATCGCACGGGGGTTAGGAAAATACTTGCCGAGCACTGAAATTCGAGGCAAGGCCACGCGATGAAAGAATCGAACAGTTTGATAGCGGAAAACAGGGGGATTGCCCTGCTAGCATGCCATGTACCAGCTACGGACGCAGAGGAGTCTACACCACCTCGAGGCTCAAGCAGGCAGGGCGGTTGACTCGTTGTCTGTCACGGGTAAAAGACGAGATGCACCTGATGACAGTCTCGTGGATACGATCTAGGATCGGCCGCACGCTCCGGCCCCCTAGAGTTGGCAGCCAGTGGTACCAGCGGATGGGAACCACGACGCTAGCGACCCCTCTTCGCTCCAATCGGTGGCACAGCTTCTCGAAAACACGGGCGTCCGTGGCGAACCTGACCAAGGACGCGATGCATGTGTAGACGGGTGTGCCCGACAAGGTTCGGGGGCAAAGGGAGTTTGGTCATGGTTTTAGCTCTGTGGATGCATGTTGTACCCTCGTTATTTACCATTGTCGTTTGTGGTCCATCCTGCGTAGACAAAGCTAGGCTCGAGAGGAAGAGGGATGTAGCACAGTCGTGGTGTTAGCTCTGCGGGAGCATAGCCTTACTGTGCTATCGTTGTAGACGAAACACGGTTAGACAACACGCATACAATCAAGGCAAGACTAATCTACCTGCTCGAAAAAATGGAAGGGGTGTGATGAAGTCTTTGCGGTAAGTGTTATAGAAACCTGCTGAATCGTGGACATGCTTTGAGTATGTTTAAGCCTCTACACCTGACAGATGAGCGAGAATGTGCGGTGATCGTGGGAGCGCGCTTGAGCAGAGAATGTCTTGCCTGCTGGGCTTGATCTTGGTTGCGACGGGCGGTGGTCAGACATGAATTCATGCCACCTACTTGCTTGTGCTATCGCTCACATCGGCTTGTGTGGCGTAATGGAGGGGAAAACACACACGCGTACAAGATCTGCATCTAAGTCATTTTTCTGTTCGTGTTCTAAGCAACTACCTGGAAGGATCTCCAGATCCCCAGACGATCTGCTGTTCCGCACTACACTGCTGTAGTCTATACACGGTACAAGTAGTCTACAGCAGTATTGCGGAGTATTTCGCCACAAAAAAAGAAATCGGACTTCAACAAAAAGTTCAAATTCCGGCTGACCTGCGAAACAACCACGGGTACTACTGCTGTACACTGTACACTTCCCCCGACGAGATAGGTTGCGCGATGCAGTACATAGCCCTTGCTCCCCAAAGACAGGACGTATGTAAAGTAGCAGCGACTTTACCCTCTCTCTCTCACCCGGGGATGATGACCGCTTTATGTCTCCACTTGGGCACCTCGGGCCTCGCATACTGGTTCTCGCCGACAACCTGCTGCTCCGGCTGGAGCGATGATGGCGCAGCATTGCCATCCCCACCCTTCCCCATCGACACCGCTGCGCCACGCCTTCTGGGTCTAGCACCAGACCAGCCGCTTCTCCAAGCAACGCGCGCCTGGGCGTACGGTCGTTGCGACGTCGGTGGTCTGATGGAGCAGCAGCACCCGGATCGCGCGCTTGTCCTTGTTCTGGAACATGTCGCTTTCGGTCGGCAACGAAGCACGAACGAAGCCACACACCACCTGCTGCGAATCCCCCCGGCGCAACCCACCGCCCCTCCCCTTTTTCGACGGTTCGAGGAGACCAGCGAATCTTGAAGCTCGGGGGTGTTGGCGGTGGCTGTCGCCAGAGGCAAGAGCATCAAACGCCGGGTCAAAGATCGAGAGTTCAAACAACCAGCAGCAGCGGAAGTAGCAGCAACTCGCTGAGGGTCATCACTCGAAAGGACGACGAGAGCAATCAGCAGGCAACACCTTGACACGAACATTAATTGCCCTGGAGCGAGAATAAGGTATTTATCTCGGTGGGAGGCAGGCAGGGTGTTCGTGTGTCTTGTTTCCTCTCCCTCACAGCCTCTTGTGTCTCGTGTCTCTCTGTCTGGTTTGTCGATCCTGCCCCAATCGCGGCGGAATAGGAAACACCGGCACCCACACCCTGAGAATCTCGGCAGCATGATTCACGGTGCCCCTTTTCAACAGCGCGGTGAGTGCCGGCCGCCCACTCCACAGCAGTCCACCTGCAGGCACACACATGTTGCCTGCTGGCTCTCGATTGACTGCTGTGCGGTCGCCATGTGCAATGTCTAGGCGACGAGTCCCACCGTTGATGTTCACCTGGTCTAGAGCGGAGTCCCACTTTGCACGAGCATCACGACAACGAGCACATGTCGGGACCCATCATCGTGGATTCCGCAGCGGCGGCAGGGGTAGTGCATCCAAGTTCCCACCTCCCACAGCCGCTGCTTCCGTCGAGTTCCCTGGGAAAGACTTGCGGGTGTCGCGGGTGGGGTTCGGAAGCCCGTGGATGGGAGCTGCACCTGATCGTGGCTTGGACATGTCGAGGTATGATGTGTTTTCATAGAGAACTTCGGTGAATGCGACGTCTGGAGTCGACCCGAGAGAGACAGCTCGCAACATGCGGCTTATAGAGCACCATGCTATTCACAACAGCAGCAACTCCAACGAGGGATGCCGTTACCACGGGCGCACGTGGTGATTGTAGCGTTGCAAAGGTCACAGAGAGGCCGTCGAGCTTGATCCTCAGGGACTCGATTTTACTTCCGGCAAGAAGATGCCGTGTGCAGTAAGTCCTGCATACCACGGCCACCGCAGCCTTTCTTGGGAACCAAGTTGAGTTGCACTCCGTGAGTCAGCGGTCACAGCAGATCACAGGGGTACTGTTAACCGCACATTGAATCAAGACAAGGAGCACACTTTGCGGTTGATATGCCTACTATGGATCGTTTTGTCGCAGTGTCTTTGTGTCCCCGCGACATGCGAAGTGAAGCGGCAAGAAGGTCGCGTGCAGGGACCCGAACACTGACCGTAAGCTCTCACGCTCCCACACCTGTTCGTTCGCGCCCACCTCCACGGCAGGTAGGAAGACCGAGAGCCAAGAAGTATCCTTTGCTCACTGTTGAAAAACGGGATGACCACTAGGCTTCCAGTCAGCGCTTTTCACCAAAAGTTAGATGGTCTAGTCCGTAAAGCTTTCTTTCAAGCCATGAACACTCGCGACGCACGAGATCTGATGAGACTCCTATTTTAAATAATCAGGGCTGTGTAGTCGACGATGACCGTCTCTAGTCTGTAGCTAATTGCGTTACCATCGTTCTGTCCCTTCCGATGTCTTACCTCCGGAGGGTCAATTGGATATCAAGACTTACGTGGTACAGGCGATCAATGCAGAAGCGCCCCGCCACCAAGCGGAGACGGTGGTGACATTAATGGCCTTGTTCATCCTCGTCAGAGAGAGAGATGTTGTGGTTGCTAAACGTCGCATCTACCTCCAAGCGGTCACAGCATTCACTGCACCTGGTGCTTCTCCCCGCCGGCGATGCATATCCCCGTACTTTCACCGGCGCCCCTTTTGTACGACTTCTTGTACGACAGCCCTCACTGTTTTTTGTGGTTATGTTTGGTAAATTGCCTAAGCGTCGTCGACCTCACGTACGTGCGCTCGTTAAGAAGCCACATTTTTCACTCCGAGACAGGCGTCAAAGCTCCCGTGTCGTTTCTGCCGGCGATGCCACTGCCGACACGTTTTTGCCACCGCCATGTATAGCATCGGTCTGCGGTCTGATTGATTGATGTGTGGGCGTTCCCTCAAGCAACAATGCCCTGCTCTCGTACATGCCGGTCACCGTACGTCATGGACGTGGTGGCATTCATGCCGCAACAACGCAATGCTGTGCTCTTGTTCCCACGTACATCCGGCGTTTCAGGGCATTGAGTGACGGGCAGTGCAACCTGGTGCAACTTACGTCCGAGGTAAAGCGGGTGAAGAGGCACGATAAAGACGGCAAGCCGCTGCTCGTGCCGGAGTGGCCGGAGCGGAGCTGGGAGACCAGGACCTTCGGGAATATGGAGGTAGTTGTTGATGTTGTTGCTGCTGTCTTGTGGAGGAGCTTGTTGTTGTTGCTGCTGCTGCTGCTGCTGCTTCTTCTTCCTGTTGTTGTAGTATGTTTGGCTCGTTTGATTCGTTGCTAATCAGCCATCCGACCGTAACAGTTCGATCGCTCTGAGTCACGTCTTGTTATTGCTGCTACACAAGCTGTGTTCTTGGTTTTGTACATGTTTGGCTGGTTTGATGTAGCGTGCATCAACCAACCGATCGTAACAGTTCGCTCGCTCTAAAGCGCGTTTTGCAGTTGCTCTGCTGCTGTTGCCTTCTCATTTTTGGACATGGCTCATTTGATGTATCGTAAGTCAACCACCGATCTATCGCTCCAAAGTACGTTCCGAAGTACACGCCGTGTTGTTGTTGCTGCTGCTGCCGTCTTCTTTTTGCGCATGTTTGGCTTTTTGACAACTTGGAAGTCAACCGACCGATCGTGTTGTTTCGATCGCTCTGACGTGTACACGTCGTTTCTCCCAAGCTCGGAAAACGCTGATGGCTGTACTATTGCTCGGTACGGTACGGTACGGTACGGTACGGTACGCATTTTGTAATCTACAGCAGTGTGGAGATATGTTCAAATTCACTGCCTGTGGTGTTCTGCTCTTGGCTTGCATGAGTGATCCAGCTCCTTCAAGTACTATGTATAAGCTTCACCTCCAGCAGGGCGTTCGTTCGCTTGGTCTTGGATGACCAGCGCCTTTGTACTGATCCCTCTCCAACCCTCCAAAGAGCTGGTCCCTATATAAGGCCGTATAGTGCTATGGGATTTCGCCGGCCTCATACCTAGCACCCCGCGCTATCCAGTGTATTAGAAGGGTGTGTCATATGTGTCGCACGATTTCACCAGCCCTACACAGAGGGCGGCCAGCCTTCTGTGTGTTGTTCTGTCTAGGCCTTGTACCGGGCACCCGTCACTATCCAGAGTGTTGACCATTTGTTGATATTCCATCTGTGTCACGGGACCGACTTCACCGGCGTGTGTGTACCCCAAGGGCGACCGGACTTATGTTTTGATGTGGCGTTTTATGGGCAGCACTGTTAGTACTGTGTAACAATCATTATAATTTTTTCTGCTGTCTACAGCAGTAGAGTCAAAGTTTTTTTTGTCTCATTCGTAAACACACGCACCTTCCATGTCGATCGCTGCCCTTGTGACGTGATGACCACCAGATCGCGAGGGAAGACTTAGCCTTGCTGTGGGAGTTGCCCGCCGAAGGAAAGCCGGTAAAGGAGGCCCTGAGCCCGGCGCGTGCTGTTGAGCATCTGGACTGCTTGCTTGCGTACCACGGCCTAGACTACGTCGATTCCTTCGTCATGGAGATCCCATGGAACACTGGAGGGGAGGTGCGCTGTTTGCATCCTTTCAGTTTGCGGTGTTGTAGCCGCATTAGCAATCTCGCCGGCTGCGGTGTCTTGTCACGATGCTCTTTCGCCAGGGATTATTTCTCGGTTGCGTTTTTTTGCGCGCCCAGACTCTCTCACACATCCTCTTCTCCTTTGTGCACGCACGTTAGGTCCGATCGTTGCTCTAGTCGGAACCTGCTCCCCTGTAATTGTTGTCCTTACGGATGGCGACTACGGATCGCAAGCGGTTTTCTGGTGTCATTCTCGTTCGATGTTGATGTTTGGGCCTCCCGATCCTGGCTCGAGTGGGAGGGGTGCGCTATCTCGTTGTTGTGTACAGCTTTTGGGTGTTGACGTTGTGCGTACGGCCGTGGTTTCCATGTTGGTGTTCACATGGAAGGGAAGGCACGCGTGTGTTGCCATCATTGCGGTTGCTATGCTCCATGGGTTGCCCACCATCGTATTGCGAGCTAATCGTCTCGATTACGCATTTTTTTCCCCTGTCGGACATCCGCCTTGTGCTCGGGCAGGATGTCGTGAACGACTACCGACGGTTCACGGGCGAAGCCGTAAGGCTGGCCATGACGGAGTTTGTGGAAGTGGCGGGGGACAAGGTCAAGACCATTGGATTCTCGTGGAAGGTCGGATTTTGGTATTTTTTTCTGTCTTGTTGTCTTGGTCCGATAGCGCAGACTGCCGTAGAGGATGGACTGTCACAAACACTTATTTCAAGGCTCTTTCTCCCGTGGCACGGCCTGCAACAGACTAGCGGGTGGATTGTCATCGTCGTAGATCCTCTGGCGTATTATCTTTTGTCAACCTTCTATTTCTTGGTGGTATGTGGGACCAGTTCCCGCCCTCCCACCAAATGACTAGAATCGACAGGTACGACTTTAAAAAGCAGAGCCTGCACAGGCTAGTGGGAGGACTGTCTCCCGTTAACGCCGCCTGCAACAGCCTAGCCGATGGCTTCTCATTGTCGTAAAATAGGGGTTCTGGCTTGTTATCGTGGTGTCTCCTGTCGGCCTTCTCATTCTTGCTGGTATTTAGGGCCAAGACTTGTCCTGACATGGAAGGACGAGAAACGAAAGACACATTTTGGCATTGTTTAAGGGGAATATGAAGAAAAGCTTCGGAACGGTGTGTTTTGCGATGTTGATCTCCGACAGTTTCTACCGCTGCAGCGTAGTAACCCTCACACTACAATGGAGAACATCAGGTAAATATTGCATCGAGATGTGCGCCGTTTTCGGGATGTTGTTGCTTTCCCTACGTCTCATCTCTTGCTTGGCAGGGAAACCCTCACACCCCACACCCCGGAAGAGCACCAGATAGTCCCCTCTCCGACATCGTCGAGCTCAGGGACCTCCTCACCCCGAGCAAGCCCGTCGTGGCCATGTTCCCAGTGGGAGTGGGATGCGGCGCAACCGTTGACGGTCTGGCCGCGGAGAGTGGCAGCGGTCTGCTTGGCTTGCCTGAGAACGCGGGGATCTTCCAGATCGGCACCAAGTGAGTTGGCGGCCGGAGTTGTTTTCCAGTCAAGCGTGTGGACACTGGGCAAGCAAGTGTCATAGATGCCATTTTTTGGCCTGGGGACGACTGGCCTTTCGTACTCTACGTACCCTAGACCGCACGGTGACTGCTCCACGGTGTGTCATGTCGTGCAGAAAATATTTTACCTTCATTTGTTGTTGCGTTTTCAGCACGGACATTGCGGTGTGTTGAGGTTGTGTCTGGCGACGTCTTGTTACCCAGAGATTCCATGACTCCATGGAGTTTGCTTCGCTTTCAACGCGTTTGTTTCTCCTGCAGCTCTGCTGTCATCGTGTAGCACGGCGCATATGGCGTCCCCAAAACTGATCATTAATGCTGAATTTTCAACAAAGAAACAACAATCCACACGCGCGCATGCCTCTGTCCATCTCTCGGTGGCTATAACGTAAGAATACCAAAAAGGTTATTGCTCTTATTCATTCCTACCCACGGCAGCTGTTCTCGAACACCCCCCCAATAGTAGACAAGGACGCTGTTACTAGAGGGGTCTTACCTTGAGTCAGTCACGCACCATTCCGTCCGCACTCTCCCACGCTCTCTCCCCAACCCTCCGAATGTCTCTACTTATCTCCAGCGTGACGCACGCAAGACGGCCAGATGGCCGCCCTTTCAGGCTTGTGGACGTCCAATCCAGGCCTGTAGAGGACATCGTGTCTGACCTCAAGGTACAAGACACCACTGGTGTAGTAGGCACCGATGATTGGCCCGTTTTCACTGGTTGCTGCCCGTTTGTGGCACAGGAGAAGCTTCCGATAATCTCAATATCATTTATTGTGGTTGTTACGAGATTCTGCGGAGGACATACGGCCATGAAATACAACAAGAAGGGAACCGTGCGTTACAGCAGACGGATTTTCACTCGAAAGGGTGTCAGCGTGTCAGCCCCCGACCTGTTGCTCTTGGACGAATGCGGTCTGACCTCCGAGTTGTTTTGAGAGGCAGGAAAATAGGCGGGCGGCGCTTTACTCAAAGTGGGCTTGTTAGTGCGAAGCGTGTGATGTCAGCATGCGACTTGCTGCAGGAGATTAAGTTATTCTTCGTGGAGATGTGCGATGCCAACGTGGGGTAAGGCTGCTGGTAGAGAATGTTTTTGAAGAAGAAAAGTCGGACAGTACGCCATCTAAACACCACTATTATCAACATCAACACGCCTCTTTGCATTTCAGTCGAAGTTCGGCATGGCACTTCACATGGAAGTGGAGTACTCGAGGCGGTTCGAGGGGAAGCAGCGTGGGACGGAGACGGGCCGAAGCGGGGACAGCAGCAGTGACGATGAAGGGGCCGGCAGTGAAGAATCCCGATCGCCTCTCCCGCCGAAGGCTGACGTGAGCTGGGCGCACATCCTGGCACAAAACCAGGTGTGATGGTGTGATTGATCGATTGGGGATCGGTTGGCTACAGCAGTGCGGTGACATTTTGAAGAATACCTCAAGAGTGAGTGGTCGAACCACTGCACTGTGAATTCATTGCCCACGTCCAGTCTTGGACTCTTTAACTATCTGTGGATCTGTGGATACAGTAAATAGAGACGGATTTGTTCGTCAATGTAAGACAATGAGCAAAAAGTATGTTTTGGATGGTCGGCTGGAAGCGTCGTACTTGTGGAAATCCCCCGTTGAAGGAGGAACCTAAAAAGTACGGATGACAATGAATAGAATGAGTTATCGGTTGCATGCAAAGCTGCTGGTGCAGTTCCTCTCTGTTTGTTGCGATCGCGACATCACCACAGGGTTAGGTAGCACAGGCACCGAAATGGTGTAGATGGATAAACCCTCCTGGTGGTGTTGCGCGTCTCCCAGCGCTCGGTGACCTGCGGTTCTCGTGATGCTCGTCTGGGACGTAAAACAGTATTAGGTTATCTGTTTGTGGTCTATTTTGCTTGTTTGTTGTCTTGTTTTCATCTTACTATCTTTCTCCGTGAGCGTGCCAGGTGAGTACAAAAGTCGTTCTCTGTGTTGTCCACACCGTTGTAAAACATAAAGCAGTTGTGGGTGACCGTGTGGGTTGTGAACGCATTTAGTCTATGGGTCCTCTTGCTCATCTCCTTCCTCCCTCTCCCTCTCTCCCTAACTCCCTCCCCCCCTCCTTTTCTATCGCGCCTCGGTATCCGTCCCACGGAACTTCCGCAACATCAACCCAGCACAAGCTCCAGGGGCTAGATGAGTGGGAAACCATCCGTGATAGTCAGATCAAGCCATCGGTGATGCGAGCGTTAGACGTGAGCGACTGAATTCATTTGTTTTCATTGTCAAGCACGCCTTGATCCCCGTTGGGAGGCACGGTAGTGGAAGTAGGCAAGAACATATGGGCATGGAAGACTAGCTGGAAGACTAGCCGCTAGGTCTTGTCTCGTCTTGTCGCCCCCTCCTGGTGTATTTTTTGGGCCCGCAGTGCCCTCTCTCTCTCTCTCTCTCTCTCCATCTCTGCCTCTCATTTCACGCCGTGAGAAAATTTGGTTGGTATTCCGAAGCTCTCGAGCTAGCTCTCCATCTTCGCCGCGATTACGACATCAGCGGGCACTTTACTTTTGCGTTGGTTGTTGCCTCACGCTGCCTCCTCCGTTTGTTCCATTGGATGCCTCCAAATATGATTCCGTTGTAATTTCGACGCCTCCCGCGAAACAGAACTACTGTAGTTCCGTTCGACTGTCGGTGCCTCCTTCCCGCCTGCGTATCCCCCTCGTCTCTTGATTGGCCACCTACCTCTTCCGTGCCTGAGTTTCCGCCTGATGGTGACATGTACCACTTACGCTCTCACTAACGTGCGCATCAGACGTTGCGAATGAGAGGAGAGGCGGAGGGCGAGTGGGGGTTTCTGTACCGATCAACACTGGCATCGCTCATGATGGGACTATCGGAGGTCATGGAGGTACGATATGATACCATCCATCCAAGTATATTCCAAGAATATTCCCCGCTTCGTTGCAGTTTTGAGGCGCAGTTTGGCGTTTACAGCTGCTCTGCGGCACGCTAGCTGCGCAGTTACGCTCTTTGGCGTTCTTGGGCAAAGAAGGCGTCTAGCTTGCCCGTATGCTGAAGTGGAATGAATAAAGCCCGTACATTCAGAGTACGAGGCTCCAGCTGCGTCACGCGAAATTCCATGGTCTTCTACAGGGCGACCGGCCTGTTTATTTGCTCACTATTGTTGAGGGACCGCAACGGCTGTGTCCGGTAGATTTCGGCACGGCAAGTACTCGGCAAAGGCGAGAAAGCTTCTCCATGTGGGGAAGACACCTACGCCAGCAACACACTCATTCTCCATGTCAGCACCAACATTGGTAGAATCGATTTCGTCTCTTTCCCGGTATGACCCCCTTCAGCGCACACAAATTCACGGCCACAGTGCTCTCACTCACTCGCCCGCGCATTGGACGTTTTTCCAGGTGAAAAAATCCCACCAGCTTGGGGAGGTCGCTGCCTTGATGGACGACCTGGCGCCCTCCCTGCGGGAGGCATCACGAGGGGTCGCCCAAGCCGGGGGGGCGGGGAACAGCAGCAGAAGCGGGGGTGGTTCAGGTGCCGGCTCGGCGGTAGAAGGTGAAACCGTCGTCGGGCGGTGTACGGCGGCGGCGTTGTCGACGGGAGTTGACTGCGTTTTGGCCGAGGAGTTCGCGGCTTCTAGGGATGCGGCGAGAGTCACCGGATTTGGACGGGTGAGGCGGGGATCGAGGGGATCGAGATATAGTCTATGGTCATGGTACACATGAAAACACACTACCATCATGTCGTTCAAGAAGAGTTGAACGAAGAAACAGGTGAACAGGGGGGCGGTAGGCGCAAGATATCGTCATGACACACGTGAAAAAAACACCATCTATATGCTGATGTTGTCTGTTGTCGTCGAAGAAGAGTTGAAGCAAGAAAAATGCGAAAAAAAAATGGCAAGGGGAGCCGCGATATCTGATTTTGGTCATGACACCTCAAGCACCACACAAAGCATACCACCATAAAAGTATTGATATTGCCTCCTGTCGTTCAAGAATTTTAGAAGAAGCGAAAAATGCGCGGGGGGACGGGGGCGGGGGCGGGGGGGCGTACTCATGTTTTGCATGCCATTGATGATAGGACCATTGACCACGCTTTTTCACGCCACGAGTTAGTTGTCGCTACGCTAGAGACGCTGTCAGCGACACCGCCGTGTTCCTAATAGAATATTCAACACACAGCCCGTCAAAACGTTTTTTTTTTTTTCACCTGTGACACCTGCGAACACGCGTCGATGTTGCCACCCGTCACACCATCGGCAGGTTCCGCACGACGAAGTAAAGAAGCTTTACTCAGGCTTCCGGCTGCCGGCAGATGCCCCGCCAGCGTCGGAACAATAGCCTAGGCGACAATGGCATGGCAGGAGGCCCATCTACCGTATACGATACGATACAAAAAGAAACCCGCCCGCGCCCGGCGGCATGTAACATTCTATATTCTTAAGTGGTTGTCACCGGATGTGTTGTTGCGGGGGTGATGTCAGGTTTCTTGATCTGGAAGCAGTTTGGTTGTCTGAGGTCGTGTTCACCCGTACTACTTGATGTTGCCTCCGGGCATGGTTGAAGTGGGTGTCATCTCTCGTGCGCTTTTTTCTAGTGCTAGGGGTTTTGTTGAGATGAAATCCACAACGAAACTACCAACACGATGACGACTACTTCTGACGGTTTTCTGGTCGGAGAGGAACGAACGCTCCTTGTTCGCAAGCAGGACGGGGTGCTGGCATACGCTCGTGAGTTGGGCGAGGCAAGGGACAAATAGAAAAATGCTCAAGATCCGCAAGAAGTGTTTGGCAGGGGAGCCTAGTTTATGCAGGACGCGCACCTCTCGATGGCCTTGCTTGGCAACGTCAACTCTCACCGACAGGGATTTCTTGGAGGGGGGGCAAGCGACAAAGCTTTATGTGCATATGTATGCAGACATCAATTTTGGCTTTGCTCCCAGTCAACGCGGGCACGGCTCGTGTGTCTCGCATGAATGTTGGTACTCTCAGGGTCATATGCTCTGCCCTTATGGTGTCGTCTATCGTAAATGGGCTCCACCCGCTCTCTCTCTGGGCAACAACATTACACACAGCTCTGGAGCTATATGATCGTGGGTAGATATGACATCCACAAGTATGGCCCGTGCGTGTAGCCGAGGGTTCCGCGACGCATCGAAAAACGACAAGAAAATGTGGATGATCCGCGCGATGTCGAGCGGTAAAGACATGTGTTGGATTCAGGATGTGGGTAGTTCAAGCTGCGTGTACGACGCAAATGTTGACAACTCACTCGTGTAGTGCACATGCTGGCCATCCTTTCTCGACGGGCTTCAAAAAAACGGTCCGAGACAACGCGAACACACCGCGTCGGAGCAAGTGGTCAGGAAAAATTGCGTTGCCTAGAGAGCCGCATTTGTTCGATCGCGCGACACGTTGACAGACAACTCTCTTGCGCTTCGATGGTGCAAGGCCGGAGGGAATTACCTGAAGACAGGCGTCTTGGTGGAGTCGTTCGACTCACCGACACGACTCATCAAAAGTGAATAGAGCCTGTCCCTTGCTATGTTTTCTTTCTCACAAAAATGAGGTAAGAACATCTCCTATCTATCGTAGTTGTGCCAGCACCGGGTAGAACGAGAGTTGTAGTTGAACTGTCTCACCAGGGAACTGTACAGGCCACCTCGAAAAAACAGAAAAATACAAGGCCATCAAAACCAGCTCCCACGTGCAGAGTGACGCCGATGACTCTCTTAACTGTTTTTGTTTCCATGTCTACCTTGAGGCGCACGCCCGCAAGCTGGACGCAAGTGTAAGTGTAACAACCATTCAACACCGTGAACGGCAAACGCATGTGGAGAACGTGCAGGGGAATCTCGACGCGCACAAATCACGGCGTACCACTCGCGCATGTGTGCGAATTTGCACTACGATAGGCAAGGGGGACCTGCCTGAGCCACATGCATTAGCAAGCACTTCGGTCAAACATCCTTTATTGAATATACATCTCATGCACAATATGTGCTTGGCTTTCCAAATCCCTCTGACAGACCTAGCAGCACGCATCCTCAATCCGGCAGGAGGGCGGGAAGCAGACCCTAAAAACAAAGTCTTCTGTATTTAACACCCGACAAAAAGAAAAAAAGAAATAACATGTTTAGGTACAACAACAAATTCTCGCTGACGACCGTCGGTAACCTCCGGCTCCTCTTGCCGGAGGCAATGCTTTACTATGGTACACAAGAAGCACGACTCTACCGCACTAGGAACGGTGTTATAAACACACGCGACCTTAAAAGATGCTGCACGACGAAGAAAAGAACAAAATCACTTCACTATTTTGATACTTAAGAGTATCGACTGACAAAAACAAGCAAAGAGGAAGAACGGCAAACCAGATCGAACATAACATGGCGCAAAAGGTCAGCGCCAACAGGTACACGGACTGGAACGCATCGGTATGCTTGCTCTCTTGTGCTCTTACCACAATCACTCAGGACGCCCGTTTGTATGTAAGGTACATGCTTTGCCACAGAAGGGTTTTCTATTTCTCCTCTTTCCTTCTGCGGTTGAACAATCATACCCCAACAGGGACCCGGCTTGGGAAAAAAGAAGTCATGCTGAGGTCCAGGTACCGACAAAAACAAACTGAAACTCTGCCGTTCGGCAATCAAGACCCTCAACTTGCGCACGAGACAAACTCTGCTACATGAGCTTGCCGACAGCCTTATCGCTACCAAACAGCCTGTCCATGAGCCAAACGCCCCCAAGGTGATCAAACCCGCCGCCGCCGCTAGCCCTGCTCCCCATCATCGACGCGCCGCCGCCGCCGCCGCCGCGCCTTCCACGACCGGTGACACGGCGGTGCGAGGCCGCCTTGCGGCATGTCCAGCGGGCAACGAAGAACAAGAGCGCGACTACCACCAAGCCGACCACCATATATCCCCCGACGCTACCGCCGAACCCGAACTGAGAAGAAGTCTCTCCGCCGGATGGATAAGCGTCAAAAGGGTCGCCTTCGTCAACAGACAAGAGCGTCCTTCTTCCGCCCATGCCCTTGCTGCCGAACCCGCTACGGCTGGCGTAACCCCTTTCTCCGACACCCCGGCCGCCGCCGCCGCCGCCAAACCCACCGCTGTAGCCCGCGCGCGGCTCGCCCCCGCCCCCGCCGCTGCCGCCCCCGAACCCGGCCGCGGAGAGAGCGACACAGCTGATCAACGCCAGGCCGGTACTGACGGCCCCGATGATAGCGCTAGCGCCGGCGGCAGCGGCGCTGGCGCCGCGCCCGCGGCCGTGACGGTGTGGCCAGAGGCTGTCCGACGAAGCATTACTGGGCGCGATGGGAGGGAGGTCGATGGCACTGCCATGGGCGGAGAGCATGCCCCGCAGGAAGGAGTTCTGCTCGCGGAGGGAGGCGATCTCTTGCTTGAGGGAGGCGGTCTCGTCGCGGGACGCCGCCAGGCTCTTCGAGAGGGTGTCCGCGCGGTTCTCGAGCTCGCTCAGCACCTCTTTGCGCTGGAGAGAGATAGAAGGAAAGAGAGCGACAGGGCATCTGGGTTTCAATCAATAGTGCTTGGTTGGGCTGGGAAAAAAATCGACATCAACAAGGGGTTCGGATCGGGCAATCGGCGTCCGTGGATGAAGAAAGCGAGAGTACGAGAGAGAGAGAGAGAAAGAGAGAGAGAGAGAGAGAGAGAGAGAGAGA